TTAATAAGACTAAGAAGGGAAGGCCAATTCCTTACTAACAACAGCACCTAGATTGCATTTCAGGACCCAGTGGTTCTGGAAATTCTAGAATAGTTTTGGTGCCTTAATATGTGATTCCTACCAAGACTATTCATTGCTTCCTTTTATGATGCTCTTTCAAGATGATTTGAACTCTTTATATTGTCTGGCTCCAATTGGGTGAATTAGAAAAGAATATATTATTTGTCTTGACTGCAAAGTCCAAGAGTACAGCCTACTTAGCCCCAGCTGGACACGAGGGTGTGTTACTAAGTAAGACGTGGGAAAACAACTTGGAGGATTTATTGTATTCAGTTTTATATGTTTCAGTCCATCATGGCAGGGAGGACAAGGTAGAATGAAATAGTGCATAGATTCAGGAAATAGAATGTCTTACTTCTAGGTGCTCCCCTTCCCCTTTTGACCCCACCCTGTCAAATTAGTTGATGGAATAGTGCCACCTGTATTGAGGACAGACTTTCCCCCCTTTAGTAAATTCTCTCTTGAACACACACTTAGAGATGTGTCTTAGGCAATTCTCAATCCAGCTGTCTTAGTTAATTTTCTATTGTTGTGAATACACCATTACCAAGGAAACTTATAGAAGAAAGTTTATTGGTGTGGTGGCTTACAGTTTCAGAGGATAAATTCATAACCATCATGGCAGGGAGCAACATGACATCAGGTAGACAGGCATGGTGCTTGAGCATCTTGAGACAATAACTCTGAGGCAAAAAGAGCTAACCCCAAAGCCTACCCCCAGTTACACACTTCCTCCAAAAAGACCACATCTCCTTATCCTTCCTAAATAGTTCCACCAACTGGGGACCACACATTCAAATATATGAGCCTATGGAGGCCATTATCATTCACCCACCACACCAGCCAAATTGACAAAGTTGAACCATCACAGAGGCCTTCAGAGGGTTTGTTTCCTCTTTCTGCTTTCCTCTGAATTGGTTGTACTTTAAGTCCAGCTCCTATATGTGGTTGCCTCTGGCAGGTCACTTACCATTTCAATCCCTCAGTTTCTTCATTATAGAAAATTACACACATATCCAGCAGGAGGCATCAGAAGCAGAAGGCAAGGAATGAATGGATGGATGCAGTTATCTCTGTTACCAGAGCAACCTTACTTATTCTGTCTTTTCTCTAATTCATGCTTCTGAGTAAGCCAAAAGGACAGTAGAAATATTATGAAATGGCAGTAACATTGGCAATCAAATAAAATAAATAAGCCAAATTTTGGCATCAATTGACAAAAAACTTATTAAGGCAGAAGTGACTCAATTAGAGAGAAACTGAACCCTGCTTGTTCATATTTGGTAACACAAAACCAACACTAATTGATCACTGTAATACACCAAATCTGCACCTATTTAAACAGCTCAAGCCTAAGGAGGTGCCCCCAGCACACGCCCCCTCCCTCACTTCTCCGCTCACTTTGGACTAAGGACAGTGAAAAGCCCCGGAAATGGATGGGCTCAACTGGGCCTCCTACACTTTATGGTTGACAGTATGGGTAGTTTTTCCAACTACTTATTCTGGCTGAGAAAACACCAGGGGAAGTGTTATATATTATTCAGCATTGAAGTGGTTTTAAAAAAGAAAAGATTAGCAATTCTCCATACTTTCTCTTTTCTGCCATAAGGACCTAGGGGGTCAAAGCTGTGTACACACAAGATGAGAAGCCTTCCCAAGTCCAAAGTGGCTGTTCAGGGTGTAATACTCTGCCTAACAACAGTGCCTATGTAGGATGTGTGAAAAGCAGCTCTGGGTGCTTAAGGAATGTCTTTTACTTTTTACAACATCAAAATTTAACAGTGTACTCACTCAGGAAAAAATATCTAGACATTTTAAAAAGGTTTCTTCAGGAAAGTTCATTCATAGGAGCTGGCTGTAGATGCACTTCTAACTGGAAGTGCTGAATGAAATAGAGGTGGGGTGAGTAAGGAGGAGTGAGTAAGAACTAGCCAAGGAAACAGATTTGATGGAAAAGAACAATGACCTCAGAGTCAACAGACCTATATGTAATCCAAATAGTTTCTTTTTGACTGAGCAAGCTGCAAATCTCTGTCTTCTCAACTATAAAATACAGTACCTACATTATAGGGTTGCTGGATAGATGGGGGGGGGCAGACAGATAGACACACACACACACACAGAAAAAAAGACAGGCAGACAGAGACAGATACAGAGAGGACAAGCAAGTGAGCTGTGACTTGCATTCAAAACAGTAACTAATGGTAGGTAAGTGTGAGAGCCAAAGTTACATTTTAAGTTTTAATTACTATGTCTTAGAGATTCACAAAACAAATATGTCTCTGATCTGCAAGTCCCTTGCCCCCAAACAGATAGTTCCTGAAATGCTGAAGGCTATTTTTTATGGGAGATAACAAGCCACATGTTTTCACTCCCTTAAACAAGTTTGTTTGACTCATCTGCACAGGAAGTGCTTGATCACATGTGGGCAGGAGGTACGTAGACAGAAAATATGTCAGGATATATGCTTGCCCCTGATTGGACCTGATGGGAAATGCAATGAATTATGGGTTTTTCTTCTTAAGCCCTTGCCATACTTGATTCTGGGCCATTTCCCAGGAACATGGGTATGGATCTAGTCAGAGTCCATCTACCTGGCCAGTATTTAATTAAACATTGCTTCAAATTTGGCTTTAAACTGTGGTAGTGGTCTTATTCTCTATCAGTGGGATTAACATAAGCCACAAATCTAGGTATCTGTAACACAAATCTTAAAAGGTCTTATTAAATAAAAAACCAGGTATCAGGGTTAAAACCCAAGAGATCAGAGGAATAGGAAAAGTCACAACTAACCTCACCTCACCAACTCCACAGCTTCCAAAGAGACCTACTTCCTATATACCCACACCTATATGCCTTTCTGTTCTGCCAACTCGTTTCCTAACCGCCCAGCTACATCACTTCCTGCCTAGCTACATCACTTCCTCTTGCAGCCCAGCTCTGTCATTTCCTGTCTGTCTGTACAGACCTTTAGACCTTTATGGTTAGTGCTGGGATTTAAGGCATGTGCCACCTGGCTGTGTTCCCAGTGTGGCCTTGAACCCACAGAGATCCAGACAGATCTCTGCCTCCCAAAAGATAGGATTGAAGGCATGTGCTACCACTGCCTGACTTCTATGTTTACTATAATGGCTGGCTTTTTTCTCTGATCCTCAGATAAACTTTATTGGGGGCACAGATAAAATATTACCATAGGTATCCTTTCTTTTTCCCTCTGACTATTACTAAGTTTGGTAGTTTTCTAAGTTTTCATTTCACAGACTCTATAACTGATCTTACAATTTAAATTCTAAACTCCAAGATCAGCATTTTCAAAAATGTCAGGTAATGTTTGGAACTAGAAGTCAATGCTGCCAAATCTACTCTTACACTCTACTCTATACTGTTCTTTGATTCTAGAGACTAAACCACAGCCAGTGTAACTGAGGGAAATTCTGAGTCAGAGTAAGTGTGCAGTGATGTTAGCTTTTTCCTTGCCCATTGGCCAAGCTCTTTCCTGCCTAGTTCACACAGAGGCATCCACTTCCTCCTGTATTTTCAACTGACTTCTGTATCAGCTTCAAGTCTTTTGATCCATTTGCTTCTACCAACCTGATCTTCAAGGAATGTCTTTATGTCTATGGGTATAGTTCAGTGGTTAAGTACCTGCCTAGCATTCACAAGACTTGTGAAGAAGGAAGAGAGGGAGGGAGGGAGGGAAGAAGATAGTATGAATATATTGATGTAAAAGGGAAGCTTATTATTAACAAAAGGGAAGCCATTACATAAAATAATAATAAACAAAATGCAAAACAATGCAAGGGTCTGAACAAGCTAAGATAGGTCTGAGTTTTTAGAGATGCCTGGAGACTTGTAAAGCTAAAACTACTCAATGATGCAAACCATCATGTGATCACAGAAATTACCAGATTCTGAAGCCCACATAATCCTGCTTAATTTTAATAAAACACTTCCCATATTTCCTCTCTATTTGAATCTGGGACAGGGTGCTAAATTTTCTAATACAAAATGTCCCGGGTGGTACATATTTTTGCAGAAGAGAGCCACAAGTTTAAAAAAAAGTGCTGAAAATTCTGCTCAGACTTGGATGTCAAGTTCTTTTTTTTTTTTTTTTTTTTTTTTTTTGGTTTTTCGAGACAGGGTTTCTCTGTGTAGCTTTGCGCCTTTCCTGGAACTCGCTTTGGAGACCAGGCTGGCCTCGAACTCACAGAGATCCGCCTGGCTCTGCCTCCCGAGTGCTGGGATTAAAGGCGTGCGCCACCACCGCCCGGCGGATGTCAAGTTCTTAATGGGCAGGAGGCTGAGAATCTAGCCTAACCAAAAGCCTGGGAAAAGCAAGGATGGTATTTGGACAGTGAATAGAATGCAGGATCAACCACAGCCTTTGGTGAATTTGGATACTTGTGTTTTATTGCTTCTGTTTAAAACTAGGCTTTCATGGTACTTTGGGGAAAAAAATAATAACAAAACCCGAGGCGGTATTATAATGAGGGAAGCAGACAATCCTCTGTGGTGCAGTCTCTTCCTTATTAGGGATAGGGAAGTTCTGGAGGCCATCTCTAATCATCGCCCCCCCCCCCCACACACACACAAACACGCACACATACACACCCTAAAACAGCATCTAAAGTACCTAGCAAACCCCAAAGCCCTCAGAATTTTACCACTGGGTACTTCTGGGTTGTTTATTTGGGTGAGTGGGGGTGGCGGGGCGGGCGTGGCAAGGCTATCAGCCACTTGCAGAGAGGAAATGATGAACATCTCCATCCAGTGGGTGTCCCTGCAGTCTTGGCGGGCAAAGCCAGTTTGAAGGCCTTACTGAGCACCAATCTTGCACATTGCTGTGTTTCCTCTGTTAGTGAAGTTAGCAAACAAAGTAAACACACCATAAGACACACAGAAAAAAACCCAAAACAAAACACTGCGTTCTGATGCTCTGCCAGCCCCGCAGCATTCATTCCCAATCCGGGTCCCTAAATTTGGGCCCGAGGCTGCGGTAGCCCTGGCCAGGCCGCACCCCGGGCTTGCTCTTCTCTCCTTTAGCACCTCGGTCGGGGATAACCCGCGCCTGCCCTCGCCGCCTCTGCCCAGCTCCACTTTCACTTTCGGTCGGGGCGGCGAGGCTGTCGGCGGTGAAGGTGAGGCGGCTTGGCTGGGCCTGGTGGAGCGCTGGGTCGGCGGGGTACCGGGCTGAGGGGGGCTCTCGCTAGCTGGCACCAGCGGGGACTCAGGCTCCAGCCGGCAGGACGGGCGCGGTGGGTCGGGAGCAGGAGTCTGCAAAGCGCCTAGGAGCGCCGGGACAGGGCGGGCGGGCCCGGGGAAGGCGAAGGCCGTGAGGCCTGCGCACTCCCCGACTCGAGTCACGGTCAGGCTGGCCTGCTGCCGGCCACGCTCCGCCTCGCTGCTGGAGGCTGGCCAGCGGCTCCATCCCCGTAAGGCCTAATGGCGACCAGGGAGGGCGGGGTGGACTTTGGGGACAGGCCTTGGAGGGCACCTTGAGGGTGTTCCGAGCGAAGAGGCGCTGGGGAGAGCATGGAGTGTCCAGAAGGCTAGCTCCTTCCCTCTGGCTCCTGTACTCCCAGCTTCGAACCCCACCCACCCACTCCCAGGTTGCTGAACTTGACCTTTATGGAAAGCAAAGTGAGTGCCTTTTCTGGGCGCTTCACTCACAAGATATGCTGCTGGAGTGGTTAATTTCATAAGAGGAAGGGAAGGAGCAAGAGAACACTTTCTTAAGCTTTCGATGACGGTTCTTTGAGTAACTCAGGTTTGAAAAGAACACGTTTTTCTTTTGAATGCCAGAATTACTGTCCGCTCCGTATATGGTCAACAATTTACAATTTTTTTTAAATTGGCTACAGTTTCACAGCTCCCACCCCCAGCTCTTTCCTGCCCACATTTGGAAATGTACCTTAAATTGACAGCTTTTTAAGGTGGACCTAATAGAAAAATTCTGGTATATTTACATACATTTAACTCCACATTGAAATAATTTGCCAGAAGTGATGAGCCATTTTCAATATTTGTTAACTTTACTGTTTACAAAAGTTTGGCTTATACTGGGGGAAGTTAGGAAGCACAGGTGTTGCTGATTGTTGATTTGTTTTGCATTGATTGTCCTAATACAAATAGGAAATCATGCAAACAGTGGCCTTTAACTTCCTTGAGGAGCATGAAAAGTCAGAATTACCAGACAGCTCAAATAAGATTTCTAAAATGGCAGACACTTCTTAAGTCTGGCTTGGGTTAAAGTTAGGTAATAGAGCCTGCCACACGTTAACAATGGACAATTCTTCAGTTTCATCATATGAAAAATGAAAGTATTTTACAGTGTTCTTTAAATTAGAATGTAATCTGTGTTACAGTGTCTGCTTGAAGTTTCATCTTCAGTTTTTTTTAGATATCGAAGTTAAACATTTTAATAAATGAACCCACGATCCTTTCTCCCTTTAAAAGTTACTGTACTAGTCTTCTCTAGTTCAATAAAAGACACCAGTGCCTACCAGATATTCATTCTACACATACTGTAGCCTTTCTTGATAACTGCCTTCTCTTCTATCCCAACTTCCAGCTCATCCTAAATACAGAGGAGCTCCACTCTCTCCAGGCTTACCCTCAGGCCTTCCTGCTTGCAGCTTTCATTTCTTGGTATAGCACCGGAAGGATTTTATTAATCTGTTAATTGGATCCCAAGACCTTCTAGCTAAAAGCTTTGTTTGTCTTTGTGTTTAGGATTGTATTCTCCTTCCAGTACTGAACACATCTGCAGGAGTGTACAGTGGTCTGGCCTCTGGCCACCTCTGCAGAGCCAGTTCCTCCTTTGTCTCACCTTCACTGGCAGTCAGAATCACTGCTGTTTACTCCTCTGCCTACAGATGTGCTGCTGTTTCCCCTGTCTGGGAACCCCTTCCCCTGTTCCTAGTCAACCTGCGTTTTGTTCTTTAAGGCTTAGCTAAAATATCCTTAAGATAGCCCCAGCCAAAATGTAATTTGACCTGCTCTTACTCTGAAGGTAGAGTGTGTGTGTGTGTGTGTGTGTGTGTGTGTGTGTGTGTGTGTGTGTGTGTGTGTGTCTGTGTTGTATGTATATACACCCAGAGCTTCACCCTGTATCTGTATAAACTTATTAATCTCTCACCACCACCAGCACTGGAAACTTTGAGGCCAGGGACCTGTGTCACATTGGTATCCCTAGCACCAAGCAAAAGGCCACAAATAGGCTCTTGATAAATGTTTGTGTAATCCATTACTAAAAAACATTTAAACTGATTTGGTCTTTGCAGCAACCTTGTGAGGGGATATTGCTCATTTTACTCATAAAGAAAGTGAAACCAGAACTAAAGTAACATGACCAAGGTCACACAGTTGGTGCTGAAGCAAAGACTAAAAGCCAGAATGTCCCTTTTGCCTATAAGACTTTAGATACTCTGTGTGTGTGTGTGTGTGTGTGTGTGTGTGTGTGTGTGTGTGTGTGTGTGTGTGTGTATGTGTATGTGTGCGTGTGCACATGTGATTATACACTACTGGGTCAAGACAACAAGTGTAAAATGCTGATGCTTCATCAGAGCTTAGTAGTTATTATATTTCTCCTTGACTTCTGTTCTTTTAAGTGTTAGTGAAGCAGTTGCATATATTGAATAAATTATTGTTTTAGGGAGCTTTCTCCCCATGTGTCACTCTTAGAGAATGTTTATTTAATAAAGTCAGGTCTTAGGAGGCCATTTGGAACTATGAAATGCTGTGTTGAAATGAATACTTATACCAGATGAGAACAGCTATTTTTTCAAGGAAAAGGCTAAACATACTGGAACATGACCTCAGATTGTTTGGGATTAGCCAAGGAATTTTAACAGTGAAATACTTCTCACTACATTGAGTTTTATCAAACCCTTCTCAGGCTGTACTTTTAGGTACAGTGGGAATGTGAAGATAGATGCACTATCGCTCTACATCAGTTTCTGGTGCAGTCGGGCATGCATCATAAGTGCATCAATGACAGCATTAAGAGGCAGGGCTAGGAAAATGCTGTGAGAGGAACAGAGAAAGTACTGGGAGTGGGGTGGGGTGGAGTCAAAGAAGTAGTTATTTGCGCCTGGTATATTCCAGGAAGGATTCTTAGGGTTGCCTCATTTGAATTGTACCTTGAAAGACATGAGAAAGATGTTGAGAGGGAGGGAATCCCAGAAAGAGATGCAGAAAGAGAAAAAATTCCCAGGTAAATTCTGATAATAGTATACTAGGCTTGGGGTGGGTGCTGTAGGATGTTCTGTATGCTGTGAATATGTGTTGCTCTGATTGGTTGATAAATAAAATGCTGATTGGCCAGTAGCTAGGCAGGAAGTATAGGTGAAGCAAGCAGAGGGGAATGCTGGGAAATGGAAGACTGAGTAAGGAGATGCCAGCCTGCTGTCCAGGCAGCAGCATGTAATGTCACACAGGTAAAGCCACGGGACATGTGGTGACATATAGATTAACAGAAATGGGGTGAGTTTAAATGTAAGAGCTAGTCAGTGGAAAGCCTGAGCTAATGACTGAGAAGTTTTAATTAATATAAGCATCTGTGTGTTCATTTGGGTCTGATCGGCTGGGCGGGACACAGAAAAACTTCAGCTACAGGGTGGGTGTGGGGTGCCTGGGTAGAGCCTTGGTTCCCAGACTTTGGGGGATAGAGAGCCTGATTACCTAGCTCAGCAGTCTAGCGGGGAGAGGAGCCTTTGAAGACTACTTTAGAGATGTTTTACAGTTTGGTGATGTAGAAGAAGAATCTACTTCTTAGTGATTCAGTTCCAAACATCCAGTGAGTACCTGTGGCATATCAGATCAAAGGACACAGTCCTCTGGGAAGTTCTTTTAGAAAAGAGAACAAGACGTTGAAAAATATTGAGTGCCCCGACCAGCGGTGTAGATGTAACCAACCTTCTTATTAAATAAGAAACACAGAACCAATGCAAAGAAGAAAGCCAAGAGGTCAGAGCTAAGAGCTAAAACCTTACCCTTCCTCCTGCGGTGGTCCTACCTCTCCGAACCAGAGCTACCCCTGTGTTAAAGTCTTTATATAGAGTTCCTGTTCTGCCTTCTCATTGCTTGTAAACCCAACCACATGACTGCCTCCTCACGGCCTGTCTGTATAGGCCTCCAGGTTTTCCATGATTGGTATTGATTAAAGGCATGTGTATCCAATAATGGCTGTATCCCTGAACACACAGAGACTTACCCAGCTCTGCCTACCAAGTGCTGAGATTACAAGAGTACACCACCACTGCCCTGCTTTCCTATGGCTTGCTAATAGCTCTGACCCCCAGACAACTTTATTTATTAACCTACAAATAACATTTTAATACAAATAAAATATCACCATATTTCCCCTTTTCTATTATAATAAAAAGAAAAAAAAGGTTATAACTAACAAAAGAAAAACTATATACAAAAGTACAATAACTATATACAATATATACAAGTAATAACCTAAACAATGTCTAGTCCATTTGTATTTGACAAATTCAGAGAAAATATTTTCATTATCTATCTTATTTTGGTAAGTTCAAAATGTATCTAATTCACTTTCTATCCTAATTAATCTTCAACTATAACTAACTAATCTTCAACTCCCTCAGAGACCCAAGAAGGAAATAATATTAGCTAACAAAAATAAAAACGGGAAGTATATGCAAGCAACTTCCAAAAAATTGTGAATTGACAGAAACAGCCAGCTGCCTGGACAATCATCTGAGGTTTCTCCACAGTGTTGGGGCATCATCTTCAGCCTATAGGCTTAGCGTATTTGACAGACTCATTTGTGAAGTAGGATGTACACAAGGTCAACAGTTCAACCTCACATTGGGTGAGAGCAGTCCATGTACCACAAACACCTGAATTCCACTAGTGTCATGTCATGATTCAGGATTTTAAATTCTGGAAATTGTTGATGGTTTTTTAATTCAGCTGTCCATTCTTCTTGGCTGTGTATATATGGCTTCATCTCAGCATCCCATTCTTCTCCACATCCCTCTATCAAATGCCAGTCTACTATTGAGAGGCGTGAGCTTAGTTACTCTTCAAGAATAATTGTTTCAGCTGCTGTTCCATTGCACATCAGAAGCCATCGGCCCACTGCCTGTTCAGCTGCCTTCGAAGAAAA